CGGCCCTACCTGGTTGTCCACCTTGAGCTCGCTCAGGGTGGTGTTGTGGTACATGGCCTTGATGATGCTCATCATGCCGGTGCTGGTGATGAAGTTGGACTCGATGTTGAGGCTCTGCAGGGTCTTGTTCTCCATCAGCATCTCGGCCATGGCCTGTGTGTCACCTCAGGGTGTCACCTTGGGGTGTCACCCAGCGCTGGCACCCTCCCTTCAGCACGTCCCAGGCCACCAATGCCCCAGGTGATGGTGGAAAAGCCACCTGGGGCTTCTGCTGTCACCTGGGCTTGCTGGTGCCCGGGATGGAGCCGAGGGCAGAGGATGTCACCCCCTCCCTGTCTGGGGATGTGTAGGGACATGGGGGACATGGGGGCCACAGGGCTGGGACTCACACTGGCCACGGGGTCGTTGCTGCGGGTAGCCACCAGGCTGAGCTTCTTGACGTGGGTGTTGGTTTTCATGGCCTCGCAGATGGCCTTCAACGTGGAGATGGGAATGTCCTGCGGCAACGGGATGTGGTGTCACCGAGGGGATGTGGTGTCACCGAGGGGATGGAGACATCTCTGAGGGGATGTGGTGTCACCGAGGAGATGTCGGTGTCACTGAGGGGATGGGGGTGTCCCTGAGGATGCAGGATGTCAGCAAGGGGATGTAAGTGGTACGGAGGGGGTGCAGAGGCCTCCAAGGGTACGGGGCATCCCTGAGAGGATGCAGGATGTCACCCAAGGGATGTGGGATGTCATCAAAGGGACACAGATGTCCCTGGATGGGATGTGGTGTCACCGAGGAGATGTCGGTGTCACTGAGGGGATGGGGGTGTCCCTGAGGATGCAGGATGTCAGCAAGGGGATGTAAGTGGTACGGAGGGGGTGCAGAGGCCTCCAAGGGTACGGGGCATCCCTGAGAGGATGCAGGATGTCACCCAAGGGATGTGGGATGTCATCAAAGGGACACAGATGTCCCTGGATGGGGACCAGCACCCTGGGGTGCCCTGGAGCCACTCCAGGACAGGGACAAACGCCCTAAGGATGCCTCAAGACAGGGACCAACCCCACAGGGACACCGCGGACAGTGAGCAGCACCCTGGGACAGGGTGACCCCATGGGGACACCTCAGGGTGGGACCCATCACCCTGGCAGCACCCAGGGTGCCCTGGGGACACTGGGACAAGGACCCACATCATGGGGACCAGCACCTTGGGGTGTCCTGGAGACACCCTGGGATTGGGACCAGCCCCATGGGGACACCCCAGGAGCAGGACTAGCACCCTGGGGACACCCTGGGGACACTGTCAGCCGGTCCGTCACCTTGATGTTGTTGAGGTTGACGTCCTCCAGAGCCCCGTCGTTGGCCTGGATCTGCCGCAGCGTCTCCTCCACGTTGGTGGGATTCGGGGGTTCATCCGGCACCGGCTTGTACGTGTCGGGCTTCACCACGCCTGGGGCACACGCGTGTGCGCGGGGACACACGTGATCGTGCACGGGGGCACGGACGTGCGGGGACACACGTTTGCATGTGTGCGTGGGGTCACCACGGGGGATCCCAGAGGGGTTCTGGTCCCCAAGTTTCCCCCTGGACAGCCCTGTGGACCCCGTGTCCCCTGTCTGGGGGGGGTCACCCCGTGTTCCCTGTCCTAGGGGGGGTCACCCCATGTCCCCTGTCCCCGTGTGCCCCGGGCACTCACTGTTGATGCCCTCCGTGTTGGAGATGGTCCCGCTGCAGATCGCGTCGTAGTACTGCTTGTTGCTCATCAGCGTGTACATGCCCAGGATGGCTGCGGGGCCAGGGGGGTCAGTGGGTGCCCCAGCACCCCCCAGTCCCTTCGTGT